GGGGGTACCGATTCGTTTAAAATTTTACCACGGGAATATGGAGGCTCTAAAGTAGGTCCTGAAACTCATGAAATTTCATTCATAAAACGTTTATTTACTTATCGTGGACTAAAACCAACATGGCGGGGCCCGTGTACGTTTTCGATATTCTACGCTTCTTGGAGGCTTAGCATCGAGAACGTAGAGTTTCAGGACCTACCTCCAACAATTTGGAATACCGTAAAAATGGAATATTACAGAGTCAGATGTGAAAATATTGAAAATACATTCACCAACGATTGCAAGAGAATGCTGGCTTGTCCCGGGGCTCACGCGTGCTTTTGGAGCAAAAATTTAGTTGCAGCTAAACGTCACAGATGGCGACGTTGGTCCTAAACAGTCGTTAGAATAATGAATTCCCGGGATTTCGACAGTTTTACACCGATCTTTTTATCATTACTTTCCTAAAATGACATATGAAACGCTTCAGTTCGTATAATTCTCAACGTAGATTGGAAAAGACCAGCATAAATATAAATGTCGGTAACGGAACGCACAGATGGTTTCTATTTTATCGGCGTCGATTAAATTTCTCAGCGTCTTTCATATCAACTTAACTTCATACCGTTAACCGCGAAACCTATAAATCTATGGTTACTCAGAGGCCCTGAACATATAGGAGGAAAATCGATTCTCGGTGCAGCGATATATTAGCGGTTTATCAATCTCGTGGCCTGGGCCATCCGGAGGTGGCGGAAATCGAAGATGAAAGAGCGGCTAGATGATAAAGCGCGAAACCGTAGATGCATCTTAAAGAAGCCGGAGAGGCATTCGTTTGGAGGGCCCTCTCTCTCTCTCTCCTCGTCTGGTCGTTTCATAGAGCGATTTCCGTGAATACGTGCGCGGAAAGGAGAGCGTGAAATTTATTCGAGGACGCGCATCGGGACCCGAACCAAAGTCCATATCCACGACCCCACCTACACATCCGCGCTCGGTCCGTGGCGTTAACACGAATACAGGGAGAAAGCGATGCGAGATTAATACCCTTTTGTTTCCGATTCATTTTTCAGCGCCATTTTATTCCCCTCAGCCGAGAAACGCAGCAAGCCCGATAAATCTCAAACTTTCCCGCGCGTGCTCGAGTTCTTGCGCGGCTCCGGCTTTTAAGGTGAAGTAAAACCCCTCTTAAATCGGTCAATTCGACATTCAAATGAGACATTTTTTTTCTTTTTTTTTAATTACACCGAACTGTTTAAAACATTAGCATATAACTCATGAGCCCCTAAAGAAGTACCCTGACACTTTGAAAAGATGGAGCCTCAGATAAAATGTAGACTTAGCCTAGATTAGAATTAAAATGTCGTCGAGCTCTTGTACTTCGATCAATAGACGATCATTGAAGTATCTGCCGTGAGAGACCAAAGTATCAGGATAAATGTATAATAATTTAGAACACTAGTACATGAGAAACTCGCACTTGAACGGGATAAAGGAGAAATGTGTCTTATGAGTTTCTGGGTTACATATACCTAGGAGTAGCAGAAAAAGTAAAATTTGGAAATTTTTTCTTCATAGAAGAGTTTGTTTTATTACAAAATCTATAAAGCCGTCTTGAAGGTCATACTTTTGTGTGTGCCCAGTAAAATGTTCATAAATAAATATCAAAATAAAACGTGTACATGAGATTCCGTAGTAGTTCGGTGACAAAGGCTTTTGTAGTGCCCATTATAATTCTGACAGTTCTCATCTTAAATAAAAAATTAAAATATCGTATTAAAGTACATAAAAAAAAGGAAACTTTTTGTCATAGCCGATTAAAAAAATGTTTCTCTTTCCGAGAATGGCGGCCATTTGAATACGTAGGTATGATTTTCAAGTAAAACATCGATGCGTTTTTATCGATAACAAAAAACTGATTATATTAAAAAAGACCCTTTGTCAACAAGTAGATAATTGTGTAAAGATAATCTGTGTAAAATTTCAACCGAATCGGTCCATTAGTTCTCGCGATATATTCGACACCGTTTTTGAACATGTAGTTTTGAGAAAAAAGCGTTTAAATTTTTCGACGTAGGTATCGCCGACGTCACTTTTCCGTATTGTAGATATATTGACTTCCAATATATCATGTTTCACGTTTTTTTCCCAGCGCCCTGGCCTCTGTGAACAAACTCGCGAAACAATGTGTACCTCTGAACACTTGACCCGCACGCTACGCCCTTGGCGCATTCCTGCCTGTTATAAATTGTAATTTCATTAATATTGCGAAATGAAATTGTCAGGGAATGTAGCTAAAAGGTTGTACGACCGAATAAAAATGTTTTTGCAAACTGACTCTTTGAACCCACCAAAGCGTATGTAGACCCTTAACCTGTTAACTGCGGAATTTACTGTAACATTACGGGTTGCCGACGTGTATACACGTCGAACGGAGTTAACTGGTTAATTACTTTTATTTGTTTACCTCCATTACCTAATAATTTCCCACGTTGCGATGTCCACTAAAGGACCTGAAGCCGGATCATAATCGCGTATTACCGAAGGCATATCTCTGTCCTAATTGCTAGAGCCTTCACGTGCGGAAAATATCGACAAACTCGTTAAGTGAGTTCGTTTAGAAAGTTAAGGCCTAAGAGCACGCAACGTAGGAGCGTTTCTCGCATTTCGTCGCGCAAACTAGCGAAGCACCGCACCGGAGCTTAATTGCAAGCTCCCCGCGTACCGAGAGGGCAAATGAGACGAAAGTACGCGGAGAAGGAATTCGAATTGGCCCCTAAATTTTGATAACGCCGTCCCTCTTCTTAGTCGGAAGTGCCAAGGAGGAGATGACGGAGCTTAGCGGATGCGGTATCTCGCGCGAATACATTGAAATTCTTCAACGGAATCGAGGGCACGTTTCGAAATCCCCAAGTGAAATTCCAGATGCAAAATTACTGCGCCATCGGCAAAGTCTCGTATACTCGTTAACGCTCGTCCGTTTCCTTCATTTTTTATTCCCATCTTCATTCATTCGGATTTTTTTTTCTCTTTTTCCAGATCCTCCCTATGACATTTCGATTGACATCCCTTTACCTTGTTACAAATTGCGTTCATTCCTTACGGCGAAATTGTGACTACCGAGGACGCTCGGATGCTGAGATAAAAGCGAGCTTATTTCGAGGACCCGCTCGAATTTGTATTACGGAGCTGCGTGGGTAGGTGTGGTTATTTATTTATCCGCATCACCTCGACCTGAATTACATCCGCACGCGAGGAAATTCTATCCCACTGGGCTTTCGAAAAAAAAAAAAAAAAATCGTATTTTTGCATTTCACGATATCTGCAGGGCTAACGATTTTTGCGACAAGGATTACGGTACTCGTTTGTTAAAGAGAAATGCTAGGGATATAATTCTCTCTCGGCTGATAACGTTATTCAACGAATTACGCGGCGTAACGTGGGAGACGAATTTCTGAAACGAGGGTTTTAAAATCATGTCAGGAGAACGATTATTTTACCCTGTGCTACAACCTGATGTACCTTTTTTTTTTTAAGTATTGCATTCGTTCTACAAATTGCGAATCGAATAACGACACTTCGGGGTTAAGGGGATGCGAAAGTGGCATCTGAAAGGTCAATCGTTCATGAAACTTTTCTACGAACTGTGTATCAAATCGTTTCAAACTTTATAATGTGAATATGAAAGCCCTAATTTAGGTCCTGAATCCATGACATTTCGTCTTTTTTTTAAAATTTCAAAAACATCTACAAGCAAATTTAAAAGAAATTGAAATTTCGTGGGTGTCGGGACCTTCCTCATAGCCTCCATATTCACATTGTTAAGTTTGATACGATTCGGCACGCGCAGTTCGAAGAAAATTTTCATTAACGAGACCTCTTTTACTCCCCTTTCACATCCCCTTAATGTCGCGGAACTACGAGGGTGCAGTCGCTAACGTGGCAGGGAGTTACAAGGTGCTAATATCTAGGGGAAGGTGAACTTGTGGACCGTCAGACGTTATTAAGGTGAACACATTAAGAAATTTGATCGACGTCGGTACAAAAGATTCTTTTAAATACCTACGTTATCGACGTTCGTACTTGCATTAACATCAGTGCCGGATTCTATTGGGTATTGCACTAAATGGCATACTACATATGTCGTTTCCGTACACTGAGAGAAAAACAGCGGGTAAACTGAACAATTTCACCCTGTTAAAGCCGTTTTTGTGAAATGAACGCAATTTATCGTTTGATTTACTATAAATTGGCACCTGTAATTATTTTTTAATAATTGAGCATACCATTGGCTTTTGTACGAACTTTTGTAGGGCGGCGGCGACCCTGCGATCCGTAGGATCGGTATTTCCCCATCAAATTTGCGTCCTTCCCAAACCAAAACTCGAATCGGGTAGCAGATTCGCTTCCCCGATCCCTTAAGGTGGTACGAAGGAATCATATATACATACCAAAAATACCTTAACCTCTTGCCTTACGATTTAAATTCCAATAGCGCGTGCCATAAACAACAAAAGTGTCGGTCATACATCGGGCCATTTCACGGTTTGGCTGAAAGTTCAAAGTCTCACGCGTCTCTCATACGTTTTGTTTACGTTTGGCCCGATAGACATACCACGTCTCTCAGACATTTTCTTCACGTTTGGTCCGATTGATATACCACGTCTCTCGCACGATATCGTAAGTCAAGGGGTTAAGGGTGCCAGTCGGATTTGACCGCCCGACTCGATGTTTCTCGATTTTCCCCTACTGTTCCCTTTCCGACCAGCCAGCTCCCCGCAAGTCAGAGGGGTGACTTCTGGTCGCGAAGGAACTGGGAAAGGAAGCAACGTAAACTAAAAGAAAAGAACCAACTGCGATTTAATAAACTAATGAACGAAAAGCAACTCAAGGTATAACCGCGAGACCCTACTGGCATCTCGTCCTTTGTTCGGGAACCCGCAAAACTCCTCCAGGAGGTGGTGCAAGAAAACATTCCCGGAGGCCCAAAACGACCCAAACGGACCCCTCAAAATGCGACTCACCGCCCTCGCTTGTCCCGGTCGTCTCTCCATTGGGGGACCGCCTCGGAGTGGACCTCGCCGTCTCTTCGTAGACCTTTGGCTCACCCACGCCCAACACTTCACTGAACTCGCGACCGCGAATCGACACTTGCCACGGGACCGAAATGGGCCTTGTGCAACGACTTCCGAAATTTCGCGCTAACGCTCGACTGCGAAATGAAGCTCGAGTGCGGGCTCGACACAGACTGAGGGGTCAGATTGCGACAATACCTCGCCTAGGCCCTCGCGACCCCCCCACCGTTCCGGGCCCCGCGGTGACGCGGAGTCTTGCCGAAGTCCAGTAGAGGGACCTTGAATCCGTTTCCGGGGGGTTACCTCATCGACCGCGGGTCCTGCTCCAGCGCCAGGATGGGACTCCGCCCTGGACCCACGATGCCACCGGTGCTCCGGGTCCACGAACCCTGACCTCGTGGACGCACCACGGTCGGCCCGGTCAACTCCGCCCCGCCCTTAAGGGTCCGGAAGGGTCCACCTTCCCCAACATGGCGACCCGAGGGAGGACTTCCTCTTGGACTTATACAGGGTCCCAAGGGGTATCGATACAAAAATTCATGACACTTCTGAAACCTGCGACTCCGAATTAGAAGAAAAGTCTGTTACCGATTTCTAATGACTGTCCATTAAGTGCTTCGAATCTCGTGACACCCGTTTAATTCCATACGCATGAATAAAGGGACAACGGCGCTGTAGTGAAGTTACAAGGTACTACGTCATGGTAATTATATTTCACGTCTTCCATAAAGCAAAAAGTTTTATTAACGCTTCTTCCGGATACTTCCAGAGGCCAGAATATCATTTACAAGGTCTGCCAGCATTCTTCGCCTCAGAAAACGTGGACGAGGAAAATCGCTGGAACTCGAAAGTTAGTTTTGTAATAAACCGTGGAAAATACGATGTCACCGGATTCCGAGGAAATTCTCGAGAATTCGTCGTCGTGAACATTGGCGGGTACAGGCGCGGCAAATCCTGGAAGTTCGGAAACCTAAGAGCCCGCCGATGCGGACTCAGGTGCCTAAGTGGCGTCGAGCTCTTTTGGCTTATTAAATTAAATATGTCGCTAATTGGGGTGCAGGTGCACCATTGAACTCCCAGGGGAGGCTATGAGAGATGATACGACGTGCCAGCGCCGAGTTCGCCGAGAGGGCAAGTCCTACAGGTGTCAAGGAAATATTTAACCCTTATCACTCCAAGAATATTAGAAGTTGGCAGCATTACTGCCGGTTGGAGTGATAAGGGTTTATACCTTTCCTTGAATTTCCTCGAAATTCATTTACATTCTACCCTGATTTATTACATACCAACGAGCAGGATACTTTTGGTTCCCTTTTGTACATTATCGATCATGGAAAACTATCATCCGTGGTCTATTGTATTTTATACCGAATAGATGAAATTTATGGCAACGTCGAGCGGGAAAGAGCGGGGACCAAAGTAACATATTTTACATATGTGGACCCTGTGTCAATCCTAATAAGTGTTGAGTAAAACTTTCTATGCAGGCAGGGAGGTCATACATTGTCTATAATTCTAGTTCCGATTTTCTTGTTTACTCGCAATCATTTGGACCCTATTAAAGATTTTTGGGGACATGTATAGAGTTGCGATTAATCATGGGAAAGGGATCGTAGAAGCTTGGGGCGTGCCATGTGCTGGATTAATCTCCGTATTTATACAATTATAATTTAAAGTAGCATATCTGTTATTAACAAGTTCCGTGCCACGCCGCGTACCACCCGAGGTTAACGCGTATTATCGGTGGTACACGTGTCACGGAACGTGTAAAGGTTAATTAAACCCACTCAACCAAAACATTTTCTGAAATGAACCAAATACTGTTAACCAAACAATTTCGTTGAATGATCCAAATTTCTGTTCTGCCTGAAGCTCGACAGTCTACTCAAAGGCAGATCTTTTAATGTCTTAAGGTGATATGAAAGGCGCTGAGAAATGTAATCGAGGTCGATAAATTAAAATTGATGTGTACCTTTTTTGGTGGAACGTCATTTTGAATACTCAAGTGGGAACATAAATTGGCGCGTCCCGTTACCGACATTTATATTTGGGTTGAAGTCTTTTACAGTCTACGTTGATAATTATACGAACTGAAACGTTCGATACGTCATTTAAGTAAAATAATAATGAAGAGATCGACGTAAAACTGTCGAAATCCCTTAAATTTATTATTCTAACGACTGTTTCGGACCATCGTCGCAATCTGTGACGTTTATCTGCAACTAAATTTTGCTCTAAAAACACTCGTTAGCCGCGAAACAAGCCAGCATTCTCTTACAATCGTTGATGAAAGTATTTTCCATATTTTCCCATCTGACTCTGTAATATTTAATGTCTGCGGTATTCTAAATTGTTCGAGCTAGATCCTGAAACTCTTCATTTTCGACGTTAAACCTCCAAGAAGCGCAAAACATCGAAAACGTACACGGACCCGCCATGATGGTTCCAGTTCATGATAAATAAATAAATAAATACATTTTTAAAAAAATGAAATGTCATGAGTTGCAGGACCTACTTTAGGACCTCCATATTCACGTGGGAAAATTTGAAACGAATCTGTACATCCAATTCGGAGAATACTTTCCCCAACGATTTGACTTCTCAGATATATATAGGCTGACGCTTTTATATCACCTTAAGGGGATGTGAACGTGGCATCTGAGGGATCCAATCGTTCATGAAACTTTTCTCCTCTTCTCGAACTGGGTGTGGTACCCAATCATTTGAAACTTCACCTGAATATGAAGGCTGGAAGGAAGGTCCTAAATTTTCAAACGATTCGCTATCCAGGAGAAAAGTTTCGCAAACGAGATCTCTTTGACGCCCCTTTCGCATTACCTTAAGCACAGCGTGAGTAGTCTGCTATCGCGAAAGGGGGATGAACACATCAGAGATCGACTATCGGGCACTTGACGCAAGCGGCAAAAAGTACCGTACCGCAAGTGCGAATACGGAGTACACGGAGCGTGTAACTCCCAGGAGAACGGCACGTGATACCAAGCGTGGCTCCACGCATAAATTCGCCGAGCAATCCTTTAGGGGTGAAAATTTAATTAGCACGCGAAGCGAGCATTACGCCAGATCCGTGTCATGGGCGAAGCACGGGACATGCATCCCCGTTGAAGTACGACCGAAATTGTCGAGACAAAGTCGGGCCGGGAACTGAGCCATCTGGGAATGCGCACGACTCGATTCGAACTTGATTAGCGAATGGCCAATCACTCGTAAACTCGATTTAACTTCGCACGAATGAACCCGTATTTTCGGTATTTCGTGGTACCCGTCATCGTGAGATCGGAATAATTTTCGATTAACTCGGTAATAACCGAGCATCGAAGTCCGTACATGTACTTAGACGTTTAATTGTTAACACTTGTGTTCCACATCCTGAGTTTAAGGTGAAGTGCAACCTCGTTTAACTCAATCGATTCGAACAAGACACGTTTTTTAAGAGTATTAGACCGAACTGTCTGACACTTTGACACGTAGCACGTGAGCACATAAGAATTACCCTGGCACTTTTGAAATTTGGATTTTCGAAAAAAATTGTATTACTTAGCCTAGACCAGAACCAAAATGGTGTCGAACTCTCATATTTCGATCAATATTCAATTATTGAAGGCTCTGATATGAGAAACGAAAATGTCAGGACAATTGTACAATTTAGAACATTTTAATCAGTCTCGGAGAAGACATTTAGTTGGCAATGGAATCACAGATGGCGCAGGGTGGCAATTAGGACATCAAAACCTATGAATCCAAAGGATTTTCTCTGTTTTACTCCGATTGTTTTATTGTCATAGTATAGAAACGACATATGGAATATGTTGAATACATTACCCAATATAATTCGACACAGCTATCAATATAAATACGAACGTTGATAACGTAGGTAGTTAGAAGAATCTTTTTCATCGACGTCGGTTAAAGTTCTCGACGTGTTTCACTGCACCTTAATTTTAAAAGCTTGCGGGTATATAAAATAAAAGTGCCAGTCGTTACAAAAACGGTACGTGGTTTCCCAAAAGAACTCGCATACCTCCCATTATTTTCAATCCAATTTGAATTTCGCCCTGCTGTTGGAAAAGTAACCTGGAAGCAGGAGCCCTCTAGGCTACTTTTAATTAAATTCAAAGGGTATTTTCAGTGGCAAACGAATTAATGTAACGGACAATAGACTCAAAAATATGCGAGGACGTAATTTGTCACCGTGATATATGATATATAAATAACCATAAATAGAAAGTAACGGTTTATGCAATGAGGGAAAATGTATACTTGTCAAGTAAGCTATACCGACAACATTATTAAAAACCAAGGCGTCATTTCCTGCAATAGCTCTCTCATTTGACTATATTGTAACGATATAGATTTTAGGTAATGCATTATTCATTATTACGTATCAGATATTGTATTCTCGCTTAAAATGTTTAATTCTACGGCTGTACTTGCCATTTCTTTTTAAGTACGTTAGGATTACTTCTTTTTGGGACTTTTTCAATTCGATTCACTAAGTTTCCCTGCCTATTTCTTTCTATGCAAGAAAATATCCCGATGCCTGAAGAGTTATTGCAAATTAATAGAATTTCAATGAACCGAAGTTGGCTTTGTCGAAAGTTTCTAGACGTGGAGTCAAGGCGCAAAGTGTATCGGGTTTGGAGGACTTCCCCGTTGTGGGATCCTGTACACCGGAATATTCAACTTGGCTTTTTACGACATTACCGAGGGACGCGAGAGAGAGAGAAAGAGAGGGGGGAATGAGTAACTGTGCTCTATCATTAAGGGATTTAAACTTTTTTTTCTCCCCTCACGAGAGCACATTCTGAAACCAAGTTGAAGAAGTACGCTCGTCGTTACCGAGAGAAGGAAAACTTGGCCCGACCAAGCCAGGTCGGCAAAATGTAATTCTACCGAAGTGTATACTGTCCGCGACAGTCTCAGAAACTGGCGAACTTTCGAACGTACTTAAATCCTCCGAAACGACCCGAAGGCTTAGATTATTTTCCTCGGGTGATCCGTATAGTGTAAAGAAAGACATTACGACCATATTTCGGAGGGATGCTTCGACATATCCTTGAATGATTATTAAAATTTAAATTAGTCGACGTTGAGAAGCTCCATGGAAGAGCATTACCCGCGAGTAGTAAATGACAAA